TTTTTTTTTTTTCCTTTTTTGTAATGCAAGTACCTGACTTAAGCTCTGATTGCTGAAGCATTCATTTCAAAGAAGCACCCACTTTAAAGATGGCTAACTCAATAAACACATTGCCAGCCGGAGGGCTAGGGGAAGAGTCAGGCCACCTGCCACCCCATTGAGGTTCCTTGGTTTTAGTGATCTCTGCTAATTTCAACAACTGACCATTTGGGCTACTTATTTGTTTTCTCTTCTTGCGCTTTAAATCCCCCCTCTTAATTTTCAAATACACCAATAAAGAGTGAGCCCTGGAGACCTTAGATCCCAATAAAAGCAGAACCCCACCTGAGACCTATATGGCCCAGGGGTGCTGTGTAATTTCCAGGTCTTGTAAATAAAAAAACCTGTATTTCTTTTTTTTAGCTGAACCATCCTGCCACCTATTGGTAGCTCAGCAGCAGCTCAGCTCAGGCCGGGAGTTGAACTGGCGACCCTGTTGCTTAGAGCTCACACTCTTGAGCGAGCTCTTAACCAACTGAGCCATTCGGCCGGTCCTAACCTGTATCTTTTCAGAGTTTCCTGATGGTTATTTCTGAAGGGCATCTTGCAATCACAGTAAGTACCACTAGGGCTGGTCCAGCCATAACATTGGCTACTGACAGGCTGAGACCAATACAAAACAAAGTTAGACTCTCCTCTTGCCCTGACAGTCAGCATGCCAGTGGCCTTAGCTTTGAACCTCTCCATCGCCTTCCCCATCTAGATACCAGTTCAAGATCTGAGAGAACTTTTGCAGCCTACTAGATCAATGACAATATTATGGAAAAAAAACACTGTTCTAGACCAGGATCGGCAAAAAAAATGCAACCCATGGGCCAAACCCAGCCTGCCACCTGCTTTCATGAATAAAGTTTTATCTAAACACAGCCATGTCCATTTGTGGTTGCTTTTGAGCAACAATAGCAAAGCAGAGTAGTTGTGAAAAAAGACCTTGTGGATGGCAAAGCCTAATACGTATATTTACTATCTGGCTTTATACAGAAAAAGCTTGCCCTCCTCTGCTCTAGATCAAGAATTAACAAGAGAAAGACCAGAGAAAGCAG